GGGGGCACAGAGATCTTTCATGATACTTTCCATTTAACATCTGTAATCACTGGGGTGACAGGAGTGGTGAATTGGGAGTTTAAGGGTCAATCTATACTTCCAGTCAAAGGTTTTTACCACTATTCCATTTATTTCATAAACTGTAGATTTTTTATTCTTCTTAAGCATTGGAAAGTTGAACAACTATAAATAAAATATGTCAAATAAAACTAGTTTCCTTTATAACATGGAGAGAGTATGTAACAGTGCATGTCTGACATCCTATTAACTGGTTGTGTGGTGATGGCCTAGTCAAACTCTAGGCTGTCTTTTAACTTTTAATGTACTAGTTAACTGTTTTATCCCATGAAACAGAGCAGTATTTAATGTCCCTTGTAATGCCTCAAATTTTCTCTGCTGTTATAACTGCTAGAGGAGGTCACTTTGATGAATTTATATGACATTTTCTTGCTAATAAAGGTAATCAAATGGTGAACATACTGTAAATTTATTTGTTAGCAAAAGAATATTTAGTATAATTTTTGTAAATGTTTAGTGAGTATCATGCAAATGTAGAAAACCTTAGTGTGTGCAAGAACTCTTGAGTGGCCGTGTGTGTGCAGCCCCATCCTCTTGAGTGGCCGTGTGTGTGCAGCCCCACGCTCAGCTACGGCCGTCAGCTGTGGGAAAGCGACACAGGACAGCAGGTCACACGTGCGAGCGGCAGACAGGAGGTTTCTCTGCAGGCTTTGCTGAACTCACTTTCTGTGTCAGGATGAGGAGTTCAAAGACCCAGAGCGACTCCTCCGCATCCAGAGGAATCCGCTGGGGTGGAGCGGGCACCTTATAAGGAAGGGGGTGTTCTTAGCACTTCCCATTGGGTGGAGGCCCCAGGAGAGGCCGGAGGGCAGGCCGGAGGGGTTATCCCTCCCAGCTGGCTAGGGAGCATCTTTGGGACACTCCAGAATGAGAAGGAGAGACCTGGTCTGACTGGAGGCAGGTGACCATTGAAACATCAGCAGGAAAGGCAGTGAGGAGATGATGATGATCATGGGTGTAAATTGTGGGGGGGCGGGGGTCGTAATCCCTTAATAATCAAAACCAAGCAATAGAATCCCTTGGGCCCCCTTAAATGGGTGGAGATCTCAACCCCACCATTACTCAACCCAAAGATATGCCCATGATGGTGCATGATGACAGAAAGTGATACAATTGTTTGGAAAATCAAAGGAATGGCATTTAAGCGTCAGCTTCTCAGTAATTAGCCAGCATACACCTGCGAGCCTGTCGGCAGACTGTGGAGTGACAGAGAGCCTAAATGGCCACTGAAATATGAGGGGGGGGGGGGAGTAAAACCACCTTGCCAGAAATGAGAAGGCATGAGCGAAAGCGTGAAATTCAATTTCGCTATGCGGCCGTGTCATGCATTAAAACGTCAAGGGCTTTGTAATTTGACTTTTAAGCGATTTGAGGGAGCGAAAATGAAATGCAGTCCGAGCAGATGAATTCAGCCAAGAATCAGCTATGGAAAGCTCACGCAAAATTAGTAGTATAACCAAGTATAAAAAGAAATAAAGTAAGCTTTTGTTTTCAAATTAGATGTGGATTAGACATGTCTCTTATTTCATGGGGAAAAAATGTAATATCTGCCAGTTATAAGTGCTTTTGGAAATGGGAGAGCATGGCGTTCTGAAATATACCGAATTTAATTCCATTTAACGACGACAGATCTCAAGCCTCTCTTTCCTTTGCCTGCTTTTAAAAATTCTTGAAAAAAATTGTCTCCCAAAATGAAAACTCATTTATTTGTGTATTACATTGTGATTTACTGAATTAAATGTGTGAGTGAGTGGAAACAGTCTAAAGCATTCATCTCAATGAAATGCTTTCATATTTATATTGTATTGCACTATAGAGTATTTAGACATTAAGTTAATTTGAATGCATTACATACCTACTTATAAAAACAGATGACTTTCATCAAACAAGGTAATAAGTCTGTTAGGATATTGTGTAACTTTTGTATTGAAAATGGTGTGTAAAGTATGATGATGAATGCAGCTTTTAGACCTATAGATCAGGGGTGGCCAATCTTACCCGCAAAGGGCCGGTGTGTATGCAGGTTTTTGGGATAACCTGTAGGTCAGCTGTTCAAACCCAGGTGTGAGGACTCTTCAGCCAATCAGTCCTCTAATTAGTAATCTAATTAGGGAGCTGCAGCGAAAACCTGCATACACACCGGCCCTTTGCGGATAAGATTGGCCACCCCTGCATTAGACACAGGGAGCTAGGGGGGGACAAAAACGTGGTCTGGGGGTCCCCGAGGACCAGGGTGTTAAACAATGCTTTAAACCACTCTTGGAGCTTGATGGGAGACAGAGCACTGAAGTTAGGAATAAAGAGAAGCAGGTGAGCTACTGTGTTTTTCAAGAAAGTTTATGTGAGGAACTTTCTTTGAATAACTTTAAGTTGTAAAACGTACTTCCATTTACAGATCATACATGACATAATGACAAACAGATTAAAACACCTTTTATAGTCAAACATAATTTAATAACTGAAATAAAACAAGAGAGATAAATGTATGTGATAACAATAGACAACTGTCCTACCATACTGTAAGTGTTTTTTGTAATTTTGAGACCACTTATTGCAAGGAGCAATATGTGAAGCAGTCTTGTTCACTATAATAGCATCACAAAAACATATTATTAAAATCAGGCAAACAGATGGAACTGATTCTAACAACGCAAGACAAAAATCTTTTATACACAAAGAGGCCAGTTTAATTATTAATGACCCTAACATCATTGTACTGCATTTAAATGAATGAGACAGACTCTACAGTTTATTGTATGAGATTCTCTGTCATTTGACCAGTAAGAAAGGTGAGCATCTGGACTTGTTTCTTCTAAAAGTCCATGGAAATACAATGTTTACTACTAGCAGCTCTTTTGTTGCCATGCATGTAGATCTCACAAGGGATCTCCTCCAACACACGATCCTCAATGACATTCTCTGCACAGTCATGAGCCTGTTTGTAGACACAACAGCTCTTCTTATAGGTGCTATTGAGTGTCCGCAGGGTTTGTGATTGTGAGAAGTCATTATGGTATAACAGCTCCATGGAGCTAAGGTCGGCCTGGCTTGGCTTAAGGCTGGAGGCCAGTGAGCCGCAGTGGTGCTCATGGATGCATCGCGAGGCTACAGAGTTATGCCGCAGCTTATGGTAGCTCTCCAGGTCATCTGATAGGTCTGCCAGGTCTGAGGACATCTCCTTGTCCCGCAAAGAGAAAAGATTGTAATGAGGTGGGTTAAAAACCTCCTGGAAGCCTGCCTTATTCAATGGAGGCTTGCGGGATAATATTTTCTTGCGTGGTTGCTTCATTTGCACCACGATGGAAATAACAAGCAGCACCAAGACAATGCCAGCCGACACTCCAATGACAGTCCCACGTGCCCGGATGATCTGATTTAAAAGGCTGCCGGACTTTTCTGATGAGAATAAAGTGCATATATGTTAAATTAAATAAATGTAACTTTACACTTCATTTCAATTATTAAAAACTGATAAGTTTAAGATTAGCATTTAATTAAAAATCTGCAAAAGTTCGATTCAACAACAGCAGTAATAGCTTTTCTTGTTAAATACAACAGAAAGAGAAGATGATGCAGCTATCGAGTCCCTTACCTCTGCACTGGTTTTCATCCCAGGGATACACACAGTTCTGAACTCCATTGCAAACAAGAGAGTTATTGATGCACATATTGCTGTGGCAAAAAAAAGTATCATCTGAACAAGGAGCTGGAAGAAATAAATAGAGATCAGATGTGCTGCTGTCAAAAGGTTAAACCATAAAGGGGATAAAAGTGATAAAATGAATGTTAAGCCACTCTAGAGGTCAGTAACTGTAACACAGCATATGTAACTAACACAATCCACATAACGTAAGGAAGCACATATTGCCATGAAATTTCACATAATGACGAAACTAACTGTAATAGAATAGAACCACATGACATACATGTGAAAATACAAAACCACTAGATTAAGGAACAGTATGCCAGTTTATGTATGGGATGCCAAGCTGGTCTTTAAATCTCAGTTTATTACTCTAGTCCTGCTTACCCACTGCCTAAAACACAACACACTGTAATTACTGGTGCAGGCATTGTGGTACATGCCCTCATGGTCATTTTTGTCTGCCAGAATACACATATACATCTATTCTGAACATGTACTTCTGTGAAATATCTCACAAATTAGTTCAACTTGACAGTTCTAGAATTACTACAATTGCTACAATTCATATTACAGAACCTTCTTATTACAGAACATAGATTTCATATTAGGAAAAAAAATGACTAAATTATTGACACATAGAATTAATACTGACACTTGGATTTAAAATTTGGTGGGACACCTTTTGGACAGAAGAAAGTTCTCCGAGCTCTCCCAGATTTGAAGGATGACTTCACCTAACTGCAGTTTCCAGACCTCTTTACAAGTGGGAATTAGATCTGGACTCAGTACAGTCCACTATGGAATTGTTCCAACATTTTCTCTTTAACCATTCTTGGGAGCTTTTTGCCTGTGTTTTATGGCTTATCAGACTAACTATTTCTCAGGTTTCATTTTTAGATGTGATGAAATTGCATAAACATTGTACACCGCATTTCAATGAAGTGTTAGAATCAGTAGATGTAAATTCTTACGTTCAACAAATGAAGTGAAAAGCATCCGGAATCGACTGAGTCGACTGTTCTCATCCGCCCACATGCGGACCACAGCCACACCGTTGTCCAGCATGATATCATTGGCGATAGTGCTGCAGAACTTGGCCTTCAGGTTTTCAATGGCACTGCTACCATCATACACTGCCACAAAATTTTTCTTGCACTCATTTGAGTGTTCCATCTGGTACTCCATAAAACGAAGATAGATCTGCAGAATAGGGGGTGGAAATATTCAGGTAATCCATTTTTATTTTAAAAAATTGCAACGCAAAATGAAAGAAATGTATTATGATAAGATACTTTATTGTCATTGAAATTTTGGCAACAGTCCTCAAAATTGCAAACAAAATATTGCGTGAGACATTGAGTATTTCATACAATACACAACTTTTATTCAGTGATGCCTTGATGACTGAAAAATGTTTGCCCTGACATCTCAGAAAGGTAGACATAAAACACATAAAAAAACAAACATGCTTCTTTGTAGAGAAGAGTGCCAAGCTGTTGTGCTTCAACTCTCTGCCATCTTGTACATTAATGACTAACATTGTTTATTTCAGGAAGAAAAGCCTGCAACCATCTTTTATAAGAAAGCCGTGATTAACAGATGAAAGTGACCAAGCGCTTGGCACTATATCCTAACTTGGAGAGTCACAACTATTTCACATTTCTCCTTCAAGTATCTAATAAGGTCAGTATTTAGTTCATCATCTCCTTTATGACAGCATGTAAGTAAATGCAAGTAATCAGATGCTAGTGGCCCTCGCTGATTTACTGGTTAATCGCCCTGAACCGTCTACAATAATGGAAAAAACGTAGATTCTGAAACAAACAAACGTTCCACAAGTAAACGTAACATATCTAATCCATTCATACAATTTTAACCAAATTAAGAAAACAATACAAACAAAAACAGATTACAGTTCTTTATTATATAAAACCTTAATCCTTAAAGGAACTGTAACAGTAACTGTAATTGCAATGCTAACTCCAAAGGCATTACTCTCATACCGAGCCTAACTGAAACACTGACCCCTAAAACAAAGGGGGGAATTATTCTTTCAGTAGCTTATCCACAGTTTAACTCCAAGGCTCTCAGCTAAATGGTTTATTTCAGGGTTTAACACAAAGCTCCATGTTAAGTTAAGCCTGATTTCTCTGTCAAGTGAAGCTAAATCAGTGTTATAATAAAATTTTTAAAAATTTGCCCAAAAAAAAGCAATACAGTCATGTTTCATTATACATTTTAATTGTACTTTCTGTTATATCAAATAAATCATGAATGAATCTTTAATATTTTTATATGTACAAAATTCAGATTCGGCGAACACTGAATGAAAATTAGACGAATATTGAGGGCAGTGTCATAGAAAGTTAGCTGTACTGCCTAAATAAACAGTGACGATAATCACGCTGACTCAGGGAACAATGCCTGGCCAGTGGCTGCTGTCAGCTTCTAGAAAAATCTCCAGGTAGAAACTGTCACTGCAACAATCTATTCTGTTATAAGTAAAAAGTTTCAGGAGTGCAGTGTTTATTACAAGGCACACAGATGAGGTACTGCTTATTTTAGGATGACCTTCAAGCTCACCTTGGATTTAGGAGGGGCACGCACAGTCCAGATGCAGTCTACTGCACTGCCAGATTTAATCTTTGCTTCCTCTTCCACCTGACTGGAGTGGATAACTCCATCAGAGCCCATAAGTTCAAACTGACAATCTGAGTACAGAAAACAAAAGAAGAAAAGAAGAAGAACATTGAGGGAGAACAGAAGTGAAGGATGAGGAAAACACCTACTCTTTATTGTCTGAATATTGTCTAGGGAACTTCAAGGAAATATGAGGAATCATCATTATTTTAGCTTTTCAATTAGCAGATCATTGCATAGCAGGTTGACCTTGCACCAGTACATTCTTGATAAATAATAACAATGGTGGATAGCTCAGGTCCAGAAAGTGAAAATCCAGACCAAGATTGTGTTTCAACCTACCAGCTGAGTACAAAGAGAAACAGTCACAGAATACTCAACTGGTTGGTTGAAACAATGTCTTGGTCTATCCACCTCTGAATAATAATAACAATGTAAGTTGATTTAGATAAATGCATTACCTTTATTAAAAGAAAAATATGTATAGAATACTGGTATAAACACATGAAGCACGAAGGAACTTACCAGGAATTGGGCTAAAGAGATCCCCAACGTGTAGACGAAAGTCAGGGTCTAAGATGATATAAAGAAACATTATGACAATATTTTGCACTTAGATAAAGATGTGTAAACAAGCACACTATATCTATGGTTGTGAAGACCCCTCAAGCTGATCTGTATTGTTGCATACAGAAGATTGTTTAATTAGATAAGTCATTTTCCAAAAGTTTAAAAGCATTTCGCTTGAAGCACAGATGGGACCAGTACATCTTGTTTCATAATTATACCTTTTTAATCGCATCACATTACCTGCAAGACAAAAGAATTAGAATAGAATAGAAATATTCTTTTTATTCCCAAGGGGAAATTTGGGTAGTCTTTGCATACATACATACAGACAGGTATATATACTACCCATGTTGTTTTACTATCTTCCTATATTTGTACATAAAGTGAAATTTTTATCATTTACGAATTATGAATCAATTTACTTATTTACCTGCTATGAAGGCATATTTGACTCGAAAACCGAGCCCTTCCAGTTCCTCATCACTACTGAACTTGATCCACATGAAGCGCCCTGTGGATCTGACCATGCCAGGACTGCTGGGTCCACAGAAGCGGTTGATGAGAGGAGAGAAACCGAAGGGACCATCCCGTACCTCAATGTAGTCGAAGCGGCACTCGAAAGAAGGCTCAATGTAATAGGTCTCATCAAAGGTCAGCTCAATTCTCTGGCGGGGTAGGGCTGTGGGTAGGTCAGTGTTTTGGTCATTCTAACACCAAAGCAATCAAACAAGTGCAGGACGTCTTACTGGTCAGCTAAAAATGTCAACGTGTTGCTTTTTCCTTCTTACACCTCAAAAAAAAATTAAAAATCATTCAACATCCTTCAACAGGTGAAAAGGATTTCACTATTTAAATCATGTTTAAAGTTATTTATTTATTTGTTTGTTTATTAAATTATTTAACATATAATGACAAGTCAAACAACTTGAATGTGAAGGATATTTATAGAATAATGCAGGTGACAATAAGTATTACAATGGAAGAGACCAGAAAAAGTGAAAAAAAAAAAACAATATTAATGTAACATTTCAAGTATGAGTGTGTCTGAGGGGAGTTTCAGTGCTTTAATTAAGTGCTTTGAAAACATATGTATATGTTGTTCACAGTGCATGTATGCAAGCACCTCCAAATCTCACGCAAGGCTGTAGGTTTGTTATCAGCATTTGTAGGGACCAAATCAGCCTCCAACCTCCTGGCCACCTAAACGCACAAGGTATTCCTACAATATTGGTAGGGATATGTCCCTACCTCCCACACTCAAATCTACGCCCTTGCTACGTCCTTCAATTAATCAAATATCTTGTTTTGATGTCATTGATATAAGAAATGTTGAATAAAGCTAAATGGACTCATTGGGTTATTTTTGTGTAACAAATCAGATTTGAATAAAGGTTTACTATTTTTTCAACAGCAAGTAAGTGTGTACTTTTTAAGTCACATTTCATACAAAACATGTTTGAAGCATAATTACTAACTTTTTACATTTTAAAAACAGTGCATTAATTCAAACAGCTCATTTCTTACTTTGTTACAGCAGTATATTGAAACAGAACTCCATTTTAAAAACTAATTTCCTACAGTTAATTTCAACTTCATTTACATTGTGTTTAATAAAAATTTAACTATAGAATTACAAACCGATTTGGATCACATGCAATCTAATGTCCCCACTGTTTGACCAGATCAAAAGCATGGCTCATCCTCACTACAACAAAAAACGTGTTGATGTTTCAGGTGTTAAGTGAGTTTATGTCTGAACTCACATCAGGGATTCAGCTGAAACAGCAAAGATTTTTGCTGCACTGTTGAGGGGAACCGTGTCCTATGTTACCATTAGAAGGGGTTGTGGTCTCATTATTGGTTAACAGAATCACGTTAGCTATTGTCAAAAGTGTATAAAAAGGTAGAAAATTATAAAATTGGTCTCTTTGTGGTTTTGTCCTCAAACTCCTCTCCTATGAGCTTTTCTTGTGGTTTATATTAATTCTATAACCCTTTGTGACAGCAGAGCCCTGGAAGATTCATGGTGGTGTTGGCAGTGCAGGGCTTAGAGTAAGCACTGCCTGCCGGGGGTTGGGCAGCGACAATAGCCCAACAACATCCAGATGGCAGTCAATTATTACTGCATGCGGAAGACAATTGACCTGGCTTTCCCTGAAGCAGGGAAGGGGGGAGAAAAGGATTGTTTATCAATATGCATACTTCACCGTTTTTGTGTTCTCATGTACCCGTTTGATAAAATCTCCCATTCTCCAAGTTCAGTTCCAATACTCAAGAACAGAAGTTCGAGTGATGGAAAAAATGTCTTTCTTGCCCAGCCGCGACTATCAAAGGCTACGTTCACACTGCCAGCCACATTGTTCAATTCCGATTTTTTGCTCAGATCGGATTTGTCTATCTTGACGGTTCACATTCATAAGTACAAGTGACCTGTATCTGACTGTAATGTGAACGCATCGGTCCTCCGAAACGTCACGCATGCACACATTGATACATTTTTACACGGGTAAAAAGCTGGTCGTAAAATTGACACGTTGTGCGNGAATTGGGCCTTTATCTGGGGGAAACAGGACAGCCTTCAGCACACACTACATGAGCACAAATACAAAACCAAACAAACAGCGAAAGCTTGAAATGACATGTATTTTGTGTCCTTCTTTGGGCTACAAAAGTCCAACAAACAAACAAAAACAAACAGACAGACAGACAGACAAACTCACTTCCAAATGTATACAGAGGGACAGAGTGACAGGTAGATGTGTCCAGCATACTAGCCCACGCTACCACCCCCACACCTTTATGCATATATCCGTTTAATTTGCACACTGTACTTTTAGTTTTTTTCCTTGATAGGAAAAACAACTGCTAAAATTTCAGTTTTGTACAGCTGTCTTTTTTGCACTGATTTTCTGACTAGTAAGTTTGTGGCCTGGCGCCGTTGAGGAAGACCTGGGTTCTGGCACATCTGCCCCCTGCTGGAGGCTGTATGTTATTATAGCCACGCACTTTTTTTTTTTATCACACAATGCTGAAAGTTATAAACTTATTTTTAGACCCGTGTCTGGGCCGTGAGACTGCTCCGTAAGCTGCAAACGCAAAGTGATTCAGGATATAACATTCATCTCTGTCACACTTTGACTAGCGAAATAAGACTATTAGGTTTCTGAGTTCAGCGTGAATGTGATTTAACCTTCATATGAAATATCGGTTGATAAAAAAAGAACAAGCCTAAAATAATGCAGTATGTATAATTGAATTATTATCTCCAAGGGGTACCGGGAGTCCTTTGGTGCTTAAATTTCACAATGTAAGTCTGCAGAATCTCAAAGATTAATTATTAATTTGATGGACAAGTCATCCTCCAGTGGTCAAAATAACGTTAAAATACGAGTGTCGTTAACGTTTCATAGCGTGAGCACTGGCGGATTTAGTTATGTGCGACATGAGCAGCCGCCAAGGGCGGCATCTTGCCAGGGGGCGGCATGGGGGGATGCACAAAAAAATTCGGCTGTGATATTTGCGGTTTTCTATCGCTCATTTGCACGTCACGTTTGTACAGTACCAATGCAATTAGTAAAAGCATTTAAATTTTTTATTTACTTGTAATAGTCTTAATAAAAGCCTTAATTTAGTGCCGTATGGTTGCTGGGGCGGTGGGGGGCGCCATGCAAGCTAGATGCTCCATAGCGTGTGAGTGGATTCCGGCAATTTTAATCACAGCTTAAACATGAACGTGTCGAAGCCAAGTGAGTTGTAGCTCTGTCTGGTATATGATGCAAATACTTAAGTGATGCTGACGCAGTGGAGCCACGTTATAGATATTAAAGGCGCTATTTGATTTATATAGACCGGTGACCCCGGAAATTAGAAGAAGTGGAGCGACAAGAAACTGACCACATTGATCATCATCCAGCTACCGAATCCAGTGAGTACAGGGAAATATGCTATAGTCTTCTACCTACACCCTCGCAGTGTTCCTTTAAATGCTACATACTTCTATGGTACAAAAAACAGTAGCTGAGACTAATCTTAGTGTTATAAATTTCTTCAGTTTCTGTAGGCCAGGACAGAGAATAACATGGTAATGACATGCATGCAGTAATCGCTACTCCCCAACAGAGGGTGCTGTCGTACCTAACATTTCTCTAGCCGCTAAGCGCTTGTGCCGCGCCTCCAACTTCCCATCTGCACCAAATGGAACGAAGACGTATTCGCTTCAGCGTTGCCAAGATATAGACTTCCCTGATGACAAAAATAATTCTGAAGGACAAAAAGTATTAAATCAACAGATTTATTGCATGCCTCCCACATTGCACCTTGCCATTTTAATCACCCTGAGAAAAATTTTATCCGAGTTATACCATGCTTTCCTCTAGAGAGGCGTTATTGTTATTAATAACTTATGCAAAGTCTCGGTGCTTTGGCACCCGAAGGTGTCCGTTTAGGTACCACGCAGAGCCGCAGACTCCCCGTTGGGAGAGGCGCTGCCTACAGTCAGTCTGCTTCCTGTCGCCTCCGAAACACTCCCATCTCCATCTTCAGCTTTCTTGAGTCAGTTTTCAGTTGCTCCCTTTCAGGCTGGCGAGTTAGTAAGGAGGGACTTCAAAACTTGTTATTTCAGAGCAATTCATGCTGTCACCAGAGAGGGGCGCTGTGGACACTGCTCAACAGCAGACTTACGGCCTAAATTCTTTAGGTAACTACACTAGTCAAGTAGTTATTCACGATAATAATTGGATGTAGATAACAATAAAAGAAACCGATCAAGTATCATATTGAAATAGAATTATCTAAATACGAAAATGAAACCAAAGTCGTAATAATATAACTAAAGTAGTAAAACTACAATAATTAATGATTACAATTAAACGAGCGCAACTTTTAGCTATTTATTTTTAACGAACCTTTGTTCATATACGATCTTTTAACTTTGCGATACAACTTCCGAATTTACCGGTTGTGAGTATTGTTGTATTTGCTAATATTGCAGTAGCAGAATTTCAAAAGGAAAAGGAATATTTCACAAAGTTTCTCCACTGACTTTCTTTTAACGGAGCAACAGATGTCCCTGCGGGAGAAGGGAGAAGTTAAACCTCCATGCACTCGGCCTGTAGGAGGCAGTATGTACTTGGAGAGCGGAATCAGCTTTTGACGTTTAAAATGCAGCCGATGTTTTCCAACTGAGTTATTTATGATGGACCATTACACTTGCTTGCGTTTGTCTTTCCGCTCGGACTGAAACCGAGGAAGGCAGCCCTTTGATTAAACAGAAGACTGACTGAATGCGATTTCATTTTCATTGTTAAAGTAGCCTTGTAGCGATGTGTCCTCCACATTGCGTTTGGACGCTTTTGTACTGAAAACAATTAAGGTTAAATACTTCTCTAGTAAACACTGGATCTGTGTCTGACAGCTAAGTATCGCGCGGAACCCTAAGGACGGCTCACCTTCGGCTGACGCGTTGTTTCATTATAATGTCACCCAGTATATTTGACTGGTTGGCTTTGTTTCGTTTTTCTGATTTTCTGGATGTCAGAGTCCTGTTGCACGCTAGGGGCTGATTCGTACCATGAATACTGCTTCCCACTCACATTTCTTCTTAAATGAAAGGGTAGTCTAGTCGCCGGCTCGAAAACCCGGCGCGTAGACGGTGCACCCTGGACGCCATGCCGGCCACCGGGCGGCGTACGGCCAGATTCGCAGTTGCTAATTCACTTGAACATCTTTACAATGTGGGAGGACATTAAAACACACAGGAATCTGTAAGTGCAGCCTGTGGGCTGCGAAAGTCCCAGCCTGGACTTCTGAATCAGTGACACTACCCCCGGAGCGCTCATTCAGAGGTACCCAAGTGGCTTTTTTTCTTTTAGATGGGCAGTAATATGCAGTTAATTCCGTGGCATTAATTTTAATGACTGATAAAAAGCAGCTTTGTTTTTAATTTAGTTTTGCTGTTTGTGGGGCTCTGTGATACAGATCTGGACAGTATGGAACATACCACTGGTATTGGCGAACCTGTAAGCTTATTTGAACCGCTGGGCATCTGCGCTTTGAGGTTTTGAAACTGATGCAAGTCTGTATGAATTTGGGCTGGGACACCATGACAACAAACGTCTGCACCCCAGGAAGGTGGATCTGAAGGGTATCTTTAGTGGTTTTGGGGGGCTGATTCCACCAAAATAGCTACTTTCCTTTTGTGCTTCTCCCTCAAAGTGAAGCCTTTGTGTCTTTACATTAGAGTCAGGGTTTGAGAATAGTATGGATTGTAATGAGTCAGGGATGTATTTTGTGAAAGTAAGAAACTGGGGCTCTCAATGGGGGGGGGGGGGGGGGCAGCCAGGAAGCTCACAGTCATGGGTTTCCTGTGTGTGTAACGTGTTTATGGTTGTGGGCAGTGGTGTCTTAATGGTTAGGGAAGCGCACTTGTAATTGAAAGATTGCAGGTTTGAATCCCCGACCAGCAAGGCACCACTGAGGTACCCTGAGCAAGGTACCGCCCCCAAGCACTGCTCCCCGGGCGCTGAATTAACTGCCCCCTGCTATGTCACATATGGGTTAAATGCAGAGGATACATTTTGCTGTGGTGTGTCAACAATGACCACTGATCCCTAAATTCTAATATTATTTACATGGCACACACTTTTATTAGGGGGGCGGGGGGGAGCTTGCTCAAGGGTCTAACTGGGTTTTGAACTGGTGATTTTTGATCAATGGCAAACCCACACACCACTTACATGTGAACGATCCTCCCAGCAGGGACACTGCTAGAGATTTTCATCCCCATGAAAGCATATCGTATTAGGGCCCCAACTCAGACCAATCCAGTTACCCTCCAGATTTTTTTTGTAACCCTGTCGCTCCCCCTGTTCCCAGGGCAGAACCTGGAACACAGGTTCAGATTAAAGCATGATACCTCAGAACCTGCGATACTCAACAAGCACAGATGCTCATAAACCCTACACACAGAGATGGGTACGTTCCTAAAATCACACAGCCCCCCCGACCCCCACTGCACCTATTTCTACACCCTGGACGCAGGAAGAGAGAACTCTCCTAATTTGTAATACTCAACAGAAAATCATGTTTAAAAGTAGACTGAAGAATAAAAAGAGGAAAGAAGAAAAGTTTTAATTAGAAAAAATGGTGAGGAAATCATTTAAAGTTTCATATCATTCAATTCTTTTTCCTTATTGTAGCAGTTGAAACGTAACATAGTTTTACTGGTCCCATATAGGACCTTAATTTTTCGGTGCAATACTGCTCTTTTGCTCAGTCTAATCAAAATGCTGTTGGCAATATTGAGGAGAAGTGATTACAACTGATTAAATCTGTCTCCACTGGATTACACCCTTCATCTAGAAATAATGCACCATTTCCATTCTGCTCTCTAATCAGCGGGAAAGTTTTTACCTTTCACTGGAAAAGAGGTCTGACAAATGAGGATAAT